CAATGGGAGCAATGGGAGACCTCTCTCTCGAAGTATATGGACCCGTGTGCTTGGATCTAAGAGTTTAGCATGATATAACCAAGAATTAGGATTTAAAGGTTTCCAAGTAGTTGAGTATTTTAAAAGGCACTTAACTTTCCAGGCAAGACCCTCCAGAGGTGTCAGGTTGGGCACCACAGGGTCCTCTTCTTCAGAGGAATCCCACTCTTCCCAGAACTCTCATTTAGGTAGTTGTGTTTTCTTCTTCCTCATTTTCTGATATCAATTGAAGCCAGCAAAACACTAACACTGGCAAATAGAACAAGAGATGAAAAATACTTTCAACAAGATTAACTTGCCTGTTGCTGAGTCCATTACACACACAGTATGTGTTCGGCTTGCAACACTAGCAGTTCTTCGAGATTATGTTGTATAGTCTTCACTTACATTGAAGACATCTCGGTTCTCAGGACCAGTTCGGTGTGTAAAAAGTCACTTACCAGTGGCAGAGGTCAGAGTCTCCTTTATATCCTGGCTACCCGAGAAAAGAAGAGGTCCTCATATAGGCAAGCTGATTTTCTTAGTGTGGTCTCAGTTGGCCTTGGTACTGTGAAGAGACACTGTGTCCTCTGTTTTGTTGTCAGGGATATTATATCTACTTGATAATGAAAAGAAGCTCAGTGGTTGGCTTCATAGTCTGCTGGTGCAGCAAATTTTGTGCAGGGGATGGTGGGATGAGTTGTCAAGGACATCTGGTGTGCACAGATCTGACGTTTTCCATAAATGGTGCAAATGCCCTTGGAAACTAGTGACTAAGCTGTTGGATTATCTGGAAAGGTAGCCTTAACCTGTAAGTGAGAAGACATGTCTTTATTTTATTGAGACAGGAAAAACTGTTGACTTATAATTCTTCTGTCCTCTTATATTTTTATTATTTTCCTTTCAACCAAATTAAGGGAGCTGACATGCCTTTTTTTTTTTTTTTTTTTTGCAGGAAGAGGGAGGTGTTTTGTAACACATTGTACTGGATCTATTTTGGTAAAGATGTTCTAAGAAAATATAAAAGTTTAGTTCAGTATCTCAGAAACAATGTTAAATTAAAGATTTCTGTTCCTGTTCAAGGGCTTGACATCTTAATTTTTAACAAATTACTACAAACCCCATGCTTTTCCTACAATTGATAGCATATATAAAGAGTATAAAATAAAACCAGTTTAATAGAACCATCAGTAACCAATTACTTAAAGTTGAATTTAATATGATAGTTTCTTAGCCTGTAGTTGTATACTTCAGTTCTTGTTTTGGCAATTTTTGCTTTTAATTACTACTGTAGTAAAATAGAAGGTGAAGATATATGTTCATCTGGTTTATGAAATTCTAAAAGGTTTATCTTTGGACAATCCTCTTGGGAGGACTTGGTCATTTGGAAGTCTTAAAATTTGTTAATTTTGGCTTGTAAATGCCTTTGTAGCAAGGTTGAGTATTAGAAAGTAAATTATAGAGATTCACTTAGTTTTGTAAGCAGAAAGATTTTTGTTTAATTTTTTTTTTTGCTTTTTTGTAACTTCAATTACATTGAGATCAGTAGCTGATTTATCTTAAACTTTTGTAATAATTTGATTGCCTCTGAAGATAAAATCTGTGCATTGTTTCCAGGACACTGTTCTCTCCTAATTTTTCCTCTTCCTGCACTGTTCTCTCCTTCTTTGTTTTTGTTTTTGTTTGTTTTGTTTTTGTGTTTGTTTGTTTCTGTTGGGTCTTTTCCCTCTTTCTTTCTTCAAATGCTATTAAGTTTCTCTTCCTTCTGATCTCATCCAATTCAGAAGTTTTAATACCTTTAAATAATACCTTTAAAATCATATCTAGCTTCAGTTTTGTCCCTGTAATAAATGCAAACTTATTTTTCAGACTTGTATATTTAACTAGAAGCCCAGTGCGTGAAATTTGTGCACTCGGAAGGGATCCCTCAGCCCAGCCTGTGCCGGGAGTCTGGGAGCCCTCAGGGGGTGTCCAACTGATGGCTTAGGATCATCTAAGCCGTCAGTTGGACATCTTTAGTGCTGTTGTGGAGGCAGGAGAGGCTTCTGCCACCACCACTGTGCTTGCCAGCTATAAGCCCGGCTTCTGGCTGAGCGGCACTCCCCTTGTGGAGTGAACTGACTACCACAGGGCAGCTCCTGCATTGAGTGTCTGCCCTCCGATGGTCAATGTGTGTCATCGCTGTTTGGTCAATTTGCATATTCGCTTTTTATTATATAAGACTAGAGGCCTGCTGCACAAAATTTATGTATGGAGGGGTGTGTCCCTCAGCCTGCCTGCTCCTTCTCCAATCTGGGACTGCTGGCTCCTAACTGCTTTCTTGCCTGCCTGCCTACCTGATCGCCCTTAACTACCTCTGCCTGCCTGGTCACCCCAAACTGCCCTCCCCTGCTGGCCTGATTGCCCCTAACCGCCTCTGCCTTGGCTACCGCCACCATGGCTTTGTCCAAAAGAACGTCCGAAAGATGTCTGGTCTAATTAGTATATTACCCTTTTATTAGTATAGATTGACTCTGTACTGGTACTCCAGCTATGTCTGGAACACAGGCTGTTCCAGTGTTTTGTAATACTGGCAGCTACTGGGTTATGTGGTTTATAATATGACCAGTAGGTCCTATGATCATGTCCTTTGCTGTAAAATGGGTTCCTTGGTCTGATATAATATGCAGGATCTCACGCCAGGGGAACAAACCCTCCCTCTGTGAGAGACAAACCCAACTGGAGAATGTTTTTAATTTTAGTAGAATGAATTACTTTTTCACAGTGGAAAGGGTACAATCTAGTCAACTTGCCACCATGAAGCTGATCAGTCTACTTGGAGGATGGGGCTGTTTTAGAGTTGGTCTCTGTCACTGTTAGATCTTTGGCTTTGACAGTAGCTGAATCTGCCTTGGTGAGTAGGACCTCATGTTGTTGGGGCCATGTTGTATCTGTACTATGTTTGCTCTGTTCATTGTGCTAATGCTGGGCAGAAGCTGGCTGATGTGAACTGGCAGAGGCATTTTGTCTTCATTGATTCTTTTTCCATGGTGGATGTCTGTGTTTTAGGGATGTTAACAAAGGTCTATTTCTTCATGCCCACTCCCAAATATCCATCCACATGACTCTGCCCAAGACTTCTTATCTTCATCTACTAGTCTATGTCTTCTGATAGCCAGGCTCTTGGCTGTTGTCTGTGAGTCCCATGTATATTCTAATTTCAGGTCAGTTCTCTGTCCACTCAGGAGACAGGTATGACCAGGTATGTTTCCCTAACCTTTGCCTATTGGGAAGATAGTTTTCTTGCCACTGAATTTCATGGCTTCTCCTGAATGAGGTTGTAATTGCAGCTGCTATTCATTTTCAGTAGACATATATGCCTAGCTAACTCTCCTTGAACCAAGCGCAGTATATTAATGAATATTGTATTTCCATCTCCCAACTACCTACTGAGTTATAACAACTCACTCAGCAATTTTATTTTTTATTAAAAATTTTTTTTAATTATATTTTTTACAGAGAGGAAGGGAGAGGGATAGAGAGTTAGAAACATTGATGAGAGAGAAACATCCATCAGCTGCCTTTTGCACACACCCTTGGTGCCCACAACCAAGGTACATGCCCTTGACCGGAATCGAACCTGAGACCCTTCAGTCTTCAGGCCAACGCTCTGTCCACTGAGCCAAACTGGTTACGGCCTCACTCAGCAATTTTAATACTGAAGTTTGTGCATGCATTTTTATTTACTTATCACATACTATTGCTTTTTTCCTACTTATTAGACTATGAATTTCTCAGTTTGTATTTATATATCTTTTTAACCCAAAGTCTAACAGAGTGCTTGATACTGGAAATTGTATTTTTCAGTTAATGTTTATCAATGAAAATGTTTTTTTTTTTTTAACTATGATTTTAAAATGGAAAATTTTATAGATAAAACAGTTTAAACTTGAATGACTAGCAAGTGCTACCAGCTTAAATTATATGCTAAGTGGGGGACAATATATATTTATTTGCAAGAGGGTAGTGTGGAAAATATGTAAATAATTGTGTATTAGTCTAAAAAATGCATTATCAGCTGATGGTGATCATTTGAATATTTATTTATTTTAAATATATTTTTATTGATTTCAGAGAGAAAGAGGGAGAGAGAAACATTAATGATGAGAATCATTGATCGGCTGCCTTCTGCATGCCCCCTAGTGGGTACTGAACCCACAACCCAGGCATATGCCTTTGACAGAAATCGAACCCAGGACCCTTCAGTCTGCAGGCTGGCACTATATTCACAGAGCCGGCTAGGGATGAATATTTATTTATTTTTGGATTGGTCCTTCTAATATTTTTTGGTTTGTTTTCTAATTAATGTGTTTTTTTTTCATGAGAAAATTCAGAAAATAACTTAATTTTTTTCATCCTTCATTTAAAAATTTTCATAACATGATTTTAATAGGAACATCGTGTTTCATCTTACAAGTTTACCATAACTTTTCAATAATGATTTCGTTGAACATTTATGTAGACAATTTTATTCAGTGAGTATTCTATAAAAAGTTTTTATCTGTTTTTTCTTTAAAATTTTAAAAAGGAGAATTACTGGGTTAAAGGGTAAGAGCATTTGTAATATTGTTGATATTACCAAAATATTACCTCTTGCCTCCAAAAATATTGTACCTGTTAACATTTATAATAGTAATGAGAATATGAATTTCAGTTTACGCTCTCCTGCATTATATATTATAATTTTTGAAAACTTGGTAACTTTGTGAGGATAAAAAAACGCGAAAGTTTGATTTTTTTGTGAAATTGCATATTTTTTATGTTTCTTGACCATTTGTATTTCTTCAATAAACTGTTCACTTTTCTGTTGGGATGTTTTAACTGGTATTAGTAATTTAATTTCATTGGAAGTTCTCACATAGTAGAACCTGTTTCATTTTTGTAGGTGTTTTTAAGTTATCTTCTCTGAAAAAAATTAAAAGAACATGTATTTTATAAACTAGGAACCTTTTGTGGCAGATGAATATATTGAACGTCTTGTATGGAGAACCCCAGGAGGAGGCTCTAGAGGAGGATCCGAATCTTTTGATCCTAAAAGGTAAGTAAAATTTTTTTTTCATAGACCCAATCTAGTGCAAATTTGTGTTTGAAATAGATGTGACTATTGGAATTTCTTTTAATGTTAATATAAAGGGGTTTAAAAGACACAAGCATTAGAACTTTGGTTGATTTCCCCCCCAACCCCCCTTTATATTCCTTTTATTTTAGAGAAGGATTTTAACTGGTATGAGGAAAGGAGTTTTGCTACATAATAAGAATTAACATTTCCTCCAATTACTAATAAATTAGAATTGGCAATAAAAACATGTTAAATGTGTTGTTTTAAGTATAGTTGTAAATTGGGGAACAGAAAGTCACTGAACCCTAGAATGCACAATATGATTTTTATGTAGTACATTTATCTTTTGACTGTTTCTTTGAAATTGGTTTCTATTTTGGAGGATAATGGAGATTTTAGGTGAGGTTTTCTTTCATGTCAGCGATAATCCCTAACAAGATACTATAGAGAAGATGATCATCCTTAGTTCAATTCAAGTTTATTAATACATTACAATTCTAAATGAACTGAATAGTTACTAAAATTAACCGTAGGAGGATTGATACATATTCTTATTTTCCTTTACTAGGTTATTAGAAGAATTTGTAAATCATATTCAGGAACTCCAGATAATGGATGAAAGGATTCAAAGGAAAGTAGAGAAACTAGAGCAACAATGTCAGAAAGAAGCTAAGGAATTTGCCAAGAAGGTACAAGAGCTTCAGAAAAGCAATCAGGTAAATATTTAGCAAAGCAATGAATAATTTATATATAGACTATAATATATTTATTTCCTTTCAGCTTTTAGTTCTTAGTAAAAATCTAGTCAAAGGAGATTTACTGTTGAGGCTTCTCTCTGAGTTCTCCCATATCATGGGATAAAATGTTAATGGATTGTTATCAAATCCTGGCAGTGGCTTACTATTGAATGTTGGTTTGGGATCACAGTATTCCCTTAGGATGGGGTGCTGTTCAGTATATTGTGGTCCTTGCTTTTCCTCTATCATTGCAACCTTTCAAGAATGATGCTTCAGCAGACCTATATCTTTAAGGGCTCATTGTTAGCTTGGATATTCAGATAGTCATTTGCATTCTCATTTAATCATAAAACAAAGTAATATCAGACTATTGCCTGGATCAGGTTTTTCCCCAGAGGAAACTTGGTCTGGAACGTTTCACAAAAGTCATGAATTATGTGCCCTAATAAGAATAACTGTGGAAAAAGTGGGTGCAGAATTCTTCCTCAGTCCATTTTGGAGCAAAGAAACTAAACTGGCCTTGGGGCTAAGTAGATCAAGCTTCTTAGTCATTCTTTGGCTCCAGACTGAATCTGGAACTCCAAATTCCTTGCACAAACTCCTGATCTAGACTTGATTGCCCTTTGTGTGTATATAAATTTGTAATTTAAGGAACATTGTTTAGCTCTGCTGTTTCCCAGGGACTATTTATTTTTTAGCATTAGACATTAACAGACTGATCTCTGCTCAGGTTTTATTTACTTAGATTCCTTTATTTAAGCATCTATGGCTGTGAGAAAATATTTAAGGAAGTCAATAATTTACATAAGAGAAAATATGTTTTAAGTAGTTAAATTGATAAATTTCAAATACTTCTAATACAATTTTCCCTTCATAATAATAATAATGATATTAATGGTTTAACAAGTTCTTGAGCCAATTTCTCTACAAAATATTAGCTGTGTGACTTCAAGCAACTCAAGCTTTTCTTCTCAGTTTTTTCATCTGCATATAAAATAGATTGTTGGAAGGATTACATGAATAAATACATTAATATGCTTAGAATAGTGTCTGGCATAGAGGATGTCCTTAGTATATGTTTGCAGCTTTTCTCCTCAACTTAAGGTTAGGACAAAACTGTCATACTGAATTACCATCAATTTTATTATTGGCAATTCTAAGGCATTCATGGTGCATAATTTTTATCTACCAGAAGATAATCAGTATACCATGGGAAAGGGATATTCTAGGAAGTAATATACATTTTCCTCAGTATTGAGGAAATTGTAATCATTTCTGTTCTCAAAGCTGAGCCAAAAAAAAAAAAAAAAAATATATATATATATATATATATATATATACACTTTAATTATAATTTTATCATTGCTCTTTAAATATTAAAAATAATGTTTGTTAAATATTTTTTTTTAAATCAGTGTCTTTTACTTCTAACATGTTTTTAACTCTTTTTAGTGTAATAGCAAGTGAGTTGTTCAGATGACTGGTCTCTGATACTTAATTCATTGTTATCAGAACCATTATTTATGAGTTAAATGGTACTGGGATACTTTGTTAAACAGAATGAGTAATAACTAGTTTTGCTGTTTTATTGATTAATAAATGTATTCATGATAAAATTTGATTTTATAATTACAAGGATAAAATTCTGTAATTTTGTTTAAAAATTTTCAGATTATGTGTTTATCTAATAGGCATGAATCATTTTTGTAGATCATCTTTTATGTAACTTTTATGTTATCTTTAGTTACCTTAGTTTGAGAGTAGTGATGAGTTAGTAGTTTAGTTCTGATACAAATTATAAGTTAATTGGGTGGTCATTCTATTATAAGTAAAAACTGGGTTCTGTCATTGTATTTTATGCTTATGCATATTCTTTTCAGGTTGCCTTCCAACATTTCCAAGAACTGGATGAGCACATTAGCTATGTAGCAACCAAGGTCTGTCACCTTGGAGACCAGTTGGAAGGGGTAAACACACCCAGACAACGGGCAGTAGAGGCTCAGAAATTGATGAAATACTTTAATGAGTTTCTAGATGGAGAATTGAAATCTGATGTTTTTACAAATTCTGAAAAGGTGAGCACTGTTGAAGGATAAAAGCAAATTATAGCATTAATAACAATGTTCTAATTATAAACTACAGTTGTTATTTTCCAGAGAAGAACTTCAAATCACTGAGTAGTTGACTTATTGTTCTGATGTATAAATTAGTACACTAGCATACAGATTGCAGATGAAGTGTTTATATTCTAATTTTTAAATGAATTGGCATTTTTTTCATGAAATTACCTAGTATGTGTGGTTTAGAAATGCTGAGGTGACTATATTAATGAGTGTTTCTTTTCTGAAATTAACTTTTAATATTAACAGAATTTCTATAGATTTTGAATAGTTACATTTCATTGGATGAGGGTGATCTGACCTAATTATTGAAAAGTTGAAGTGGCATTTTTGTTGTTTTATTCACTTAAAGTGGGAAATATGCAGCAGGATAATAGGAATTATTTTCATATGTCTTGTTTACCCTTTTTTGGATTTATAAACTCAGAAGAAACTTACACTTCTACTTTTATTAATAGTTGAATTTTTTCAGAGTAAATGAACTATAGGTTTTATTGGGAAGGTGATTATGGCATTATGAAATCTTAAGATTTCAGTGACAGAAAGGCATATGTGTATGTTTTATTGACTTATTGGTGATACCCCAAATGTATTCCTGTTGCTTAAAAAGTTTTATTTGTTGAGAATTTAGAAGAAAATTGTTTAGGTGAATGTCTGCTGGCATACAAGGGGAATATTACTATTTTCAAATATAAACATGTTTTTTTTTACATATATATATATATATATATATATATGGGTTTAAAAATAATTATTGCTTATTTTTTTAATAGATAAAGGAAGCAGCAGACATCATTCAGAAGTTGCACCTAATCGCCCAAGAGTTACCTTTTGATAGGCAAGTTTATTTCTCAAGAGATAATTTGGATATATGGTGTAATTTATAGAATAAACTCATATTTTTCCCTTCTATGATTTTGCTCATTAATTCAACAAGAGTGTATTGAGTACCTCCTTTGTATAAGCTACAATCTGTACTAATAAAAGAGAAACATTAAAATTGACCATCACGCTGCTATACCCACCAGCCAATCAGGAGCAAATATGCAAATTAACCCAACAAATATTGCACTGGCCACAGAGCTGGAACAAACAGGAGGCTTGGGTTGCCCCCCAGTGCTGGAGAAAGCCAAGCTTTCCTCCTACCCTAGCTGGTCCTGGCCTCCGCTCAAGGATACAAAGTTTCACTTATAGAAGATAGATAAATCTCAGATACCTGTTTCCAGCCGCCCCTGGCCTCCATTCAAGGAGACCTGAAAAAAAAAAAAAAAGAATAAAAGGGGCACTAGGAGCTTGGGTAGCCGGGGGTGGGTGGCCAGCCTGCAAATAACCATCAGCCCCTCACCCAGGTTGGCCAGGCATCCCAACAGGAACCCCCACCCTGAAGAGGGTGTGGCCAGCATGAAAACAGCCATCAGCCCCTCCCCCAGGTTGGCAGGCACCCTAGTGGGGACCCTAATCCTGAAAGGGGTGTGGCCAGTCTGCAAACAGCCCTCAGCCCCTCATTTTCATAATCAGGACGGGAGGAAACAGAGAGTTTAAAGGTGGAACCACCCAGCTGCTTTTTCCTATTTCTAGATGAGAGTTTTTAAGTTTTTAAAGATCTGCGACAACAATGAAAAGCTGATGAAAGCTATAAAGTTTCTTCCAATAAGCCAGTTTCCCACAGATTGTTGTATACAATTTTATGTAGTTTTTATACTCATTAGCTTATCCGCAGTCTCTGGGGAGTTCAGTTTAAGAACCCTTGTTTTAGTTGAAAGGCTTAAGGCCATCTAAATCAGGTATTAATAAGTTTTATCCCAAAATTAACTTTCCTGAGATGGAAATTTTTGCATGATTTTCTTTGTCCTTGGAATGTCAGACACTTTAATAAAATATTGTTAGTAGTAGTTCCTGCATTGTGAAATCTGAAAGAAATATGTCTTCCCATATAACAGAGAATATATCTGTTATTCTTTTGGTAATACTTGGAAGGTCCTCTGGTACAGGTAGAATATAAATGTATTGCTATATTTAAAGCTTGACCATATATTGCAAGCATAGAGAGTTCCCTTCCCACAAAATATATTTTATTTTACTCTCAACTATGTCCTCATAAAGGATTAGCAGTAATGGTCATCTGTCACTTAGATATTATTAATCTCATTCTTGCTCAGAATGAGAGTAATGATTTTTAAAGTGACCCACAAAAATTTTTCTTTTAACTTTATTTCATACTTGTGCCATTTATTAAATGGGTTAAAATGTGCAGCCCATGATGGGTGCATAGTAATTGTTGACTACCTCTCCCACCCGTCTCTATCCTCTCTATTATATGTTTCTATAAAACATGCATATACTCATCTCATCTCTTCCGTTTCTCAATTATACAATTGCATACTTCTATTACAGTTTTGTTTCAGCCTCTCTGCCAGTTCTTGGAGGTTAATATATATATATATCCTAATCAGATTTAGTTTTTTTCACAAAGATTCACAATACCTTAAGGGCACTGTGTGATCTGCATGACTTTGATACAGTTATGGCTCACATAACGTCATTTTGGTCTTCCACACACTGCATATATGATCCCATAAGCTAATAATGGAGCTGAAAAATGCCTATCACCTAGAGACATTGTAGCCATTGTGATGTAGTGCAATGCATTTACTCATGAGTTTATGGTGATGCTGATGTAAAAAAACCTATTTTGCTGCCAGTCATATAAAAGTGTAGCACATGCAATTATGCAAAGTACGTAATACTTGATAATTATAATAAACATCTATGTTACTGGTTTATGTTTACTGTACTTTTTATCATTATTATAGAATATACTCTTTCTATATATAAAAACATTTTTCTGTAAAAAGTATGCCTGGTTACATTAGCAATGGCCTCTTGTGTCTCGGGTTTATTTGGTCTCTTGATGGCCTCATTTTTTCTTGTGGTTGATTTTTTTGTTGTTGTTATTATTTTTTTTAATATATTTTATTGATATTTTACAGAAAGGAAGGAAGAAGGATAGAGAGCTAGAAACATCGATGAGAGAGAAACATCGACCAGCTGCCTCCTGCACACCCCCTACCGGGGATGTGCCCGCAACCAATGTATATGCCCTTGACCGGAATCGAACCCGGGACCCTTGAGTCCCCAGACCGACGCTCTACCACTGAGCCAAACGGGTTTCGGCTCTTGTGGTTGATTTAATCTTTTGTTTTGTATGGTAACATGCTATACAGGCTTGTAGTTTAGGAGTCATAGGCTGTATACAATATAGCACAACAATTGAGAGCCAAATTTTTTAAACTTAAATTTCTTCTAACGCCACTTCTTCAAAATAGACTCGCCCAGGCTTGGTATTTTGTGGAAGAGCCACACTCAAGGCGCCAAAGAGCCACAAGTGGCTCGCAAGCTGCAGTTTGCCAACCACGGTACTAGGCACGTTGCTTGGTCCTTTTTCTGGCTTCTATACTAGTTTTAAAATAACTCATTTGTATATACTTTTTCTTTTTTAAATAATATTAATTGAACTTTTGGGGGAAAAAAATCCCAATGGAGGGAAGAATATGCAAATATCAAGTGAATTTAAAATACCAATGAATATGACTAGAGGCAGTAGCTCAGTGATGGGCTGGCTGGATTGTTAGTGCCTCATACAATTCTTCGTTGTTTGACAATTGGTTATTCAGTGTGAGTTTCCTAAATGAGAACCAGCCACCCCATCTGAATATCCCAAATTTACTTTTGTTACCTGGCATGCTTCCTGTCAGTACTATCTCCCTTTTGTCTTTGTCTTTTTCTTCCTTCCTTATTTTATGATCATATTTAGTACAGAGGACTCAAATCTATCCCCAAACTCAGTTTCCCCTTTCATTAATATTTTACATAGTACCAATGCTGTGGTATATTTGTCACAACTAATAAACTTCATTGGTTTTTATCTTTCAGATTTTCAGATGTAAAATCCAAAATTGCAAGTAAGTGGGGTTCTATTTATTTAACTGTTTTGAACAAGCAACAAATTACTTGGGTAAAAGAAAAAAAATAGTAAGGGGAGAGATAGTGAATCATGTCATCCTTCCATCCTATCCTTGGCTTTGATTGCTTTTCCTTGAAACAAACATTACCAATTTCTTGGATATTCCTCCAGAGTATTCTATAGGTAAATAAGCCTAGGACATAAATCATGTATATATGTGTAAAATTTAGATCTATCATCCTTATTTATTTTAAAATAATTAGTAGCATTCTATATAAATAGTTTTTACCTTTTGTTTTAAATTTAACAATGTATCTTGGAGATTATTCATAAAGGTATCTCTAGAGTAGGTTCTTTTTTAGAAAAACACAAATTAAATTTATAATTCCTTACATAACTAGTTTGATTTTTACCAATTTTTGGATTATATTTTAGGCAGATCATTCTAGGTTTCTAGACAAACCACTATAGTTCAGGCACCTGTGATAGCCCCATCACTGTTCATGAGGCCATTTTGTATAGAAGGTTCAAAGAACTACCTATTTTCCCAAAAGTGTTACGTTAAGGATAACACAGGTAGTTGGACTTCCTGCCCTGTATTTGATCACTATAGATTAGTCCAAAGTTCAGTTATTCACTCAGAACTAATAATAGCCTCAAGAATATAGTGAATCAAATATCGCATATTATCTTAAGGTAAAAATTGGTATTGACTCCATTATTTTGTTTAAGGCAAAGACAACTGAACTCAAAAATTTCTGTAATCCTCTTCACTCTTTCTGCACTTTCAAGTTTAAGATTTTTTCCTATCTCTTGTTCTCAGAGATACCATCTCAGAAATATAAGCCATTTATTGATTTCCCCCTGTCAGTTGCTTTTAAAGTAACAGTGGTAAATAGCAGTCAGACTGTGGGAGTTCAGCTGTTTTATTTGAGAAGATAGGGAAGATGTTCTTGTCTTGAAAATACAGATTTATATACCACAGAATAATCTAGAGTCTAGATTCATTGTAATATCTTACTGTTCGTAATTTTTCTAAAGAGGGCTAGCTCCATAGTCATTATATTTATAAATAGTTCCTATACTAGCAAATAGCTTGCATACCTTGTTTGTCTCATTGACTTTCTTTTTATTTTTAGGTAAATACCATGATTTAGAATGCCAACTGATTCAGGAGTTTACTAGTGCTCAAAGAAAAGGTGAAATCTCTAGAATGAGGGAAGTAGCAGCAGTTTTACTTCATTTTAAGGTAAGTAGTAAAAATTAGTCTTCAAGGCTGGAGATTATATAAATTCTATATATTATAATCTCTGATTTTCCCCTATCATGATAATTTTTGTTTTGAATAATCTTACTGTACATTTTATATCTTTCTCTATAAGTTATGTTAAATTTTAGGTGTTTATTATTATTTAAATAGGGATTTTATGTTCTACTAGAGTCTCAGTGTACAAAATGTGTGCACTGGGGGGGAGGTCCCTCAGCCTGGCTTGCACCCTCTTGCAGTCCTGGAACCCTCAGGGGATGTCCGACTGATGGCTTAGGCCTGGTCCCTGACTGCTTAGCACTGCCACAGAGGTAGGAGAGGCTCCTGCACTGCCACTGTGCTCGCCATCCATGAGCCTGGCTTCTGGCTGAGCAATGTTCTCCCTGTGGGAGTGCCCTGACCACCAGGGGGCAGTTCCTACATTGAGTGTCTGCCCCTTAGTGGGCAGTGCACATCATAGCGACTGGTTATTCCACTATTTGGTCAATTTGCCTATTAGCCTTTTAGTATTATGTTCTATAACATTAATATTTTATCAAGCACAAATATATATATTTGATATCACATATCAAGCTATGTATGAATTTTTATATAGTTTGCCATTGAAAGCCATATTCTTTTGTCTTCTTGATTTATAATGTATTATTCTTTTCAGTCAAGCAGGTTATGAAATAGGTCAAAAGCAAGAAGACTTGATCTTAAGTATCTAGTGGAATGTAGGAACCACAGAGTAGGTAGAATGTGACTAGTAAAAGACAAGCTAAATCCAGAGGATCTCAGGTGATAATACAAAGGAATACTCTATTATAGAACTGTCTTCTTGGAATTTGAACTACAAAGATAATCTCTGTATGAGAATGCATTTCTGTAAACATAGTACTTGAAGAAACAGTTTTTCCTTTAGTATTTTTTTTTTAAATTGATTATGGTCTCACATAATTGTCCTTATTCTCCCATTCCCATCCCAAACCCCTCCCTAGATATGCCCAACACCCCTCCTTCCCCCCTGTTGTCCATGGCCACTGGCTAGGCTCATATGTATGCACACAAGTCCTTTGGTTGATCTCTTTCCCTTACTTTCCCTCTGAGGTTTGAGAGTCTGATTGCTGGTTCTCTTTCTCTAGGTCTGTTTATGTTGTTCATTATTTCCTCTAGATGTGTGAGATCATGTGATTCAAGAAATACCCTTATAAGAACCTAAACTGCAACAAGCCATAATGGTTATGCTAAAAGGCAAATGAATCAGTCTGTAGTGAGTTCCTTTCTGGGCAAACAGTTCTTTTGAGTCCCAATATCAATGCCAGATAGTTCCTTATGTGTACATGCCAGCCATGATTTTTCAGATCTGGTTGGTGGACAAATGGTGGTAATGCAGGTCTGACTGTCTCTGGTTTGGTCCTGGGCGTCCTTCAGCAGCCTGTAGCTGCTGACTGCTGGTATGCTGAGGTGTAGTATGTTTCTTTATATTTATGTCAGATTAGGGAAATATAAGCCATTTGTTGAACTTTTCATTTAAGTACCATATCTAAGTATTAAGAATGGCTCTTGAGCCCTAGCTGGTTTGGCTCAGTGGATAGAGTGTTGGACTGTGGACTGGAAGATCCCAGGTTAGATTCTGGTCAAGGGCACATGCTCGGGTCGTGGGCTCATGCAGAAGGCAGCCGATCAGTGATACTCTCTTATTGTTGATATTTCTATCTCTAGTTCCCTCTCCCTTCCTCTCTGAAATGCACACACACACACACACACACACACACACACACACACACACACACTAAAGGCCGGTGCATGAAAATTCATGCACTGGAGGAGGGTGGGGGTACCTCAGCCTGGCCTGCGCCCTTTCCCAGTCCAGAAGTCCTCAGGGGATGTCCTTCTGATTTCTTAGGTCCAGTCCCCCAAGGAGGCGACCGGATGGGTTATCAGTGGACAGTGCTGCCACCTTCCCCCCCACTGCCCCTCCACCGCCACTGCTCACTGCCCCCTTCCATCATCATTTTCTCCCTCTGCCTGCTGGCACACTCCGTGGCTGGCCTGGCACCTCTTGCTCGCCGGCTCGGCTCCCCACCAACTGGTCATTCTACCATTTGGTCGATTTACATATTATACTTTTATTATATAGGATTATAAAAAAGAAAGAATGGCTCTAGAGAGACATTATATTTTATTAGAGGTCTGGTGCATAGAAATTCATGCAGTGGAGGCAGGGAGATCCTTCAGCCTGGCCTGTCTCCTCTCACAGTCTGGGAGCTTTCAGGTGAGAGGCGACCCAGCGATCAGGGGAAGGCAATGTCCCCATCGCACCTCTGCTGCTGCCACTGCCAGCAGCGCAAGGCTCAGCCAGCCCTGGTTACGTGAGCCTTGGGTGGCCCTGTGCAGCTGGGCAGCTGCCATCAGTGGTTTGCCTGTGCCTCTGGCTGGCCCTGGGAGGCTGGGGAGCTGAAGGGACTGGGCGACTCTGGAGGCAGGCACTCTGCGTGGCTGTGCCACATACCTGATGGTGGGGATGAGGGGACTGTGCCATGTTGTGGCTATGGGTGCCACCATATTTGAGGGCATGGCAGTCAATTAGCATATTCCCTCTTTATTGTCTCTGGGTACTGCCATCTTTGTGGGGGCGTGATGGTCAACTAGCATATTCGATTTTTATTAAATAGGATATTGACTACCTTACTTTTTTAAATGGCTGATTTGTTAATTAATTGGCAAAAATTTCATTGTAATTAGCTTAACATGACAAATTATTTAAACACATTGTATTTAAATGGATTCCATTTTTAAAGTAAATTTCCAGAATGTCAGTTAAATGCAGCTCTGTCCACATTCTTGCAAGGGAAAGCAAATGCTTTGAATTCAAAAGAGAACAAGGAAATACATATTTCTAAAACTTTTTCTCAAGATCTTGAATTTGTTTGTGTGTGCATGCGCATGTTTTAGAGTTGAAGGAGATGACTAGATGGTGATTGGGTAAAATGACTATAAAGAACTCAGTTATACCTAAATTTTCTTTGAAGTCCAACAACTATTGGCCATTCATTGGGACACAGACATAGCTTTATTACATTACATTACATAGGTATACTTTCTTATTGAGATTATTATTACAATGTAACAGAGCATTGATAATATATTTCTTTCTTCTTCATAGGGTTACTCCCATTGTGTTGATGTTTATATAAAGCAGTGCCAGGAGGTAACATAACAGTACATTTTTTGGATTTCATTTTATTATATGCTAATTTGTGTTTTAAAAACCATTTAAAAATTATGTATTCACTATGTAAAATGCCTCTGTTATTTAGGGTGCTTACATGAGAAATGATATATTTGAAGATGCAGCAATACTCTGTCAACGGGTGAACAAACAAGTTGGAGATATCTTTAGTAATCCAGAAACAGTACTAGCTAAACTTATTCAAAACATATTTGAAATCAAACTACAGGTAATTTTAAACAATGACTATGTATTTCTTAAAGCAATATCTGATTTTTGTTCTGCATTTTGAAAGTTTTTTTAAATATTAGTTTATTGTCAAATAACCATAGGAATAGAAATCTACTTATTCACTGAAGGAGGAAAGGAGTGATAGTATCATGCTTTTTAAAACACATATTGTTGCCCTAGCTGGTTTGGCTCAGTGGATAAAGTGACTGAGGGTCTCTCTACATCAATGTTTCTCTCTCTCTGTCTCTTCCCTCCCCTTTCACTCTCTAAAAAAATCAGTGGAAAAGATCCTCGGGTGAGGATTAACAACAACAAAAACAGAAAAAAACAAAAACATGTTTTGTTGAAAAAATATTCTAATCACTTAAGTGTCATAAGAGCACATGTTTGAATTTTGTTTACCAGTATGTAGTAGTATCAATTGTAGTTAATAGGTTATAGTATGGTAGCCTCAAATTTTTATTTTTATTGGGTCCTCACCTTGACCAATAGATGGCATTTGTGAAGTTGAATAAGAATTACAAATGCAGTCTTTAGAATTTTTTATAATATGGTGCTAACATGAAAAGGAAAAAAAAACAAAAAACACAGAAATTTAATTTATAGCCTATATTCCCATAGCATTATATTTTACGGCAACATTTCCTAAACTATGTTTACTACTGGATTAAGATACATTAAATATGTTTGTTTTTAATAAACAATTTAGGGCTTTTAAATAACCTTTAAAAGTACTAATATCTATTTCTCTAGAAATGGGAGTGAAATATACAGCATTTTCCAGTCTTAGAGTAATGCCTATTAATATCTCAATAGACAGTAATGTTACCAAGACCACAGATTGGTAAATGCTACTTTAAGAAAATGCTTATATTGGTATAAACTCAGGTTTTGTTTGTTGTTGTTGTTGTAAATATACTTTATGAGTCAGGATAAGTCATTTTCAAGAAAAAAGGTATTTTGAAATTCTTAATGCTTATTCCCATGACTGATGTAGATGGACTAGTAAATATAACGGTAAAATTTTAAATCTATTTTTTAATTGGTATATTTTCTATTAATTTCCTTTGCCATTGAATTGTAAGTCAGAAAAGTTTAAGAATGTGGAGTTAATTTCAGAAAACTACATCTTAAGTATGTATTTTAATAATTACTTAATTGACAATATGTTGACTTTTTTTTTTTAGAGTTTTGTGAAAGATCAGTTAGAAGAATGTAGGAAGTCTGATGCAGAGCAGTATCTCAAAAATCTCTATGACTTATATACAAGGTATATTTTTAATTAATATAAAATTATAACAGATCTTAGATTTTAATGTGTTTTTTGGAAAATGGGGAAGTATTCAAGTATTTTTGAATAATAGTTTGTCTGATAGCAATGTGTCTTTTAACATTAAGTACTTGGCTTATAGACTAGTATTGTACAAGAGTAGTATTCTTAGAACATTAATTTAAGGGTATTATGCTTTATATTAATGCATTTTAATGAAATATAAAGCTTTGTTTACATTGTTTGAATTAAGACTTGAGAATTTTGTTTTTAATTGTAAACTAATTAACTGTTCTTTAATTTTTTTCTCCAAGAACTATTATAATTATATTTATCTGCAGTTGAAATTTTAGAAATTAAGGAAGTTACAAATTCTTTTTCTTTTTTTAAAATCTTTACTGTTGAAAGTATTACATATGTCCCTTCATTTTCCCCTTCAGCCAGACAAATTCTTTTAAAAATGACAATTTCAACCTTAAGTCTAATATGAGAATCTTTTTTTTTTTTTTTTTTTTTTTTTAATAAAAGACAGTGTTAAACTTAGAAATATATGGAGTTTTTACCCAACCCTATTGTTATTCTTCAGTCATCATTTTGAGAGGAAAGTTTTGAAAAATAACCACAATCCAAAAGTTCTTATAAATAACATTATTATGAGTCTATTTTCAACATTGGGAAACAGAGAATTAGAGAAAAGTCCACATGGACAAAGACCAATGAGAATGAACAGATAGTAGACCCCCAGAACAGATAGTATTCTGACTTCTGTACCATGTCATGAATGACATTAGAGCATACTTGAAGACTTTCTGCCACTTGTTGCCATTTCTAGACTGGTTGGTTGCCTTAGTTTCCTCTCCTAAGCCATCACTAGCAGTTTATGGCAGTTTCAAAACCATAATGTTCGAAATATTCATCCTACTTTATATATAATCCTATGTAAGCTGCTTTCTGCATCCTAATAAATACATTCCCAAGCTTTAAGAAATGGTGGTTTAACATAGTAAGCTATTAAATTCACATTGTAAAAATATATATATTCCTTAGTATTGTTATTACACCTAAAATATATATTAATCTTTTTCCCCCCTCTTCCATGAAAAGAACCACAAATCTTTCCAGCAAGTTGATGGAGTTTAACTTAGGTACTGATAAACAGACTTTCTTGTCTAAGCTTATCAAATCCATTTTCATTTCCTATTTGGAGAACTATATTGAAGTGGAGACTGGATATTTGAAAAGCAGAAGTGCTATGATCCTTCAGCGCTATTATGATTCAAAAAACCATCAAAAGAGATCCATTGCCACAGGAGGGTGAGTGTTTATGATTAATAAGACTAAAGATATTAAGAACTTTATTATATTTGGACAAAGTTGTCAAATATTGAGTCATCAGAATTTTCTATGAAGAACTCTTTTAATCCAGTTTGTTTATAACATCGATCAAATCCTATCCCTTGGACCATATGTTAAAAATGACCTAACATAATACGATTAAAATGTAAAGCAGAATACCAGTACTATAAAGAGCTCTATAGATTTTTTTTTTTTTTTTTTTTTTTTTTTTTAGTTTCAAACTCAGTAAAGTATTTCAGGTTATTAACTAGGAAGCAATTATTTTTTTTGTTAAATATTACAGGTGTAAACAAAAACAGCCAATATATAGTTCACAGTTTAGGTACCCTGAGCTTTCTAATGACTTGTACATAAAATTATTTAATTAATATCTTAAAACTTGTGATTATTCACATACCAGAAGATAGTGATTTGCTGAAAGAATTGGTGGCACCTCAGTAATCCAGTTCTCAATTATCTCAACTATATTTGGTTTTACTATGTACATTAAGAGGGCTATCTAGAACCCAGTTGATTCTAGGATGAAGCAGAATGACTTCTGTACAGCCATATAACCAGGGTTCAGAGTCCATATACGTACACACTCAAATCAGTATCTTATTTCCCAGTTTGTTATATATTAAATAATGATCAGGGGGAGGTTATAATTAGGAATAAAAATTGACAGCTGAAAGGCAGGAGCAAGTAAAGGAAAAGAAAAACTAAAGAACGAACATTTTAAAGTAAATTTAATTCACAGTAGTCTGGAGCTACATATTCTAGGATAAAAAAAATCTAACCTAATGATACCACCATATAATAAATGTTCAAAGTGACCCTTTTGTTGTTAAGGAAAGCCAAATTTTGTTGAACAATTCTTGTTTAATAATGAAGAAATGTTTATTGGCTTTAATATAACTATTATATTTAAATTGTTTAATATATTTTTTAAATATTATATTTTAAAATTTATTTTAAGCAGAACCATTTAGTTATCTGGAATACTAACTTATTTGGAGTAGCCCACTTTCTACAAAATAGAACAAGGAGCTTTTGGCTATTGAGTCAGAATTGTAGAGCTGAAAGAGCTTTTGGAGATCATAACTCTAAATCTCCTAATTTTTCAGGTGAAAGTCTTCTGTTTAGAGATTTAAGGCTCACTTCTCTTTTCAGAACTAATTATTGGAATTAGAACTTTTAGATCTGGCTATTGGTTTTTTTAATTGTTGTTGATGTATACTAATTTTGAGAGTACTTGAAATGAAAATCTATGTATAGTGAAGTATTCTTTTTTAATTGGTTAATATGATGCTCTAGTATTCAAGATTTGAAAGAGAGAATTAGACAACGTACCAACTTGGGACCAAGTATCGATACTCATGGGGAAACCTTTCTATCTCAAGAAGTGGTGGTTAATCTTTTACAAGAAACCAAACAAGCCTTTGAAAGATGTCACAGGGTAAGAGTAATTATAAATTTATTTTATTTATACATAGTTGTGAATTTTAAGTTTTGCCTCGTTTATACTATGATATAAATCTGCTGTCTGATTAAGGAGAACAATTCTTTTTGTAATAAAAATATATAGGATTTTTGTTTTAGAGAACAAAATTACTTTAAAATTATTAGCAGTACATTTACAAAAATGTTACGGTATGACACACCTACGTGGGTGATGAGTATATTTGGTACTTAATTTTCTGAATACTGGAAATATGTTAAAATATTTCTAAATATAGTCCAACATATATCTCAGTTCGTCCAACATGTAGCTGTCAACATACAGGGTGGGGCAAAAGTAGGTTTATGGTTGTGAGTAAATGAAACAGTTTATTCTTGTGTTAATATTTATTATTGTATTTCATACAAACAACTGTAAACCTACTTTTTCTGTACCCCATAATTACTGTTTGAATCAACAGCTCTAAATCACCATCTTCTGCCTGGAAATTCACAAGATTAAAATTCAGTTCAATTCAATGCAACCCAATCCAACAAATACTCTGCATTTACTTTGTTTCAACTGCTGTGTTAGACATTGAGGATATAAATGTTAGATATATACACTACTTTTTAATAGTATGGAGAAAGAAATTGGACATGTAAAGAATTGATGTAAAGTATGTTTGCACTACTGTGACCAAAGAGGAAGCAACCAGTTCTGCCTGGTTAAGGAATTGAGAAAAAGGAAAGGTTTCATTTGTGGGTTTAATTTGTGCATAAATAATTTATGGCAGAAACCAGTTTGGTTCAGTGGATAGAGCGTCGGCCTGTGGACTGAAGGGTCCCGGGATCGATTTCAGTCAAGGGCATCTACCTTGGTTTCGGGCACATCCCCAGTAGGGGGGTGTGCAGGAGGCAGCTGATCAATGTTTCTCTCTAATTGATGTTTCTTACTCTCTATCCCTCTCTCTTCCTTCTCTGTAAAAAAATCAATAAAATATATATTTTTTAAAGAAGTATTTTATGGTACATGCATTTTTATATTTTATTCTCACCTCAAGACTAGGCTATAAATACAATTCATATTATTCCTACCTTGCAAATGAAGAAATGAGGCTTTGTAGGGTTAAATAACATCTCAAAAGTTCCCTCAACTAGGAAGTAATGAAGCTAAGATTTGAGCCTTTCATATTTTATAGCACACCAGTTTATTGATTTCCTCATTCCATCCCCCAATAAAATAAAGAGTGCTTTTTGTTTTGAGTATTGGTGGCTCAAACTTTTTTGACCAGACCCTCCAATAAGAAATGCACTTTACATGGCAGCTCAGAATATGTGTGTGTGTGTGTGTGTGTGCATGTGCATGTGTGTATTTCATGAAACTATATTTGGTTTTACTGTGTACATTAAGAGGGATTTTATTATACTTTACTTTCTATTGGTTCTCCCTTCTCTCTTTCTTCTCACAATCCACTAGTGGGATTGCAATCCAGGTCAGAAGAACATTATTGATCTAGTCTAAGCCAGGAGAGTTGTAGGCAAATATGGAGCATTTTATGTATGTGATAGAGGCAGTGGAAGTGGGAAAGAAGAAGTGTAAGTTATTATTTTGATACCTGCATACTGATTACATCTTATACAAAGTTGATTGCTAAAAAAAAAAAAAAAAAAAAAAAGTTTCCTTTTTTTAAAGGTAGACTTGAGGAGTGATGTATTTGTTTTTTGTTTCTAAAGCTCTCTGATCCTTCTGATTTACCAAGGAATGCCTTTAGAATTTTTACCATTCTTGTGGAATTTTTATGTATTGAGCATATTGATTATGCTTTGGATACAGGACTTGCTGGTAAGTATATTTGTGCTATAATTTGTATTAAATTCCTTCGATCCTGCTAGGTTAAATTATATCATGTTTTCATATATTCAGCTCTATGTTGAATTGAGTTCACTGCAATGAATAATGCTTTTTGAGCTATAATACAAGGATTTGTCAGATGCTAAAAGCTATACAAAAACCCAATTCTCTCATATTGCTCATATCAAGCAGGACAGGGTAAAATTCCAGAAGTGAAATGATGAAAATATATTATAAATTCTTAAGAATTCTATACATGTAAACCCTTTTCCTAAAGGGTTTTTTTTTCCCTAATTTACACTGCTCCTGGCATGTATGACTATGCCAGATTTTCTGCACATCATTGAATACTTTTATTGAAAAATTAAATAATTTAGTGGTTAAAATAGGAATACATACCTTAATTTTCATGTCTTTCATGAATAGCAAGGATTAATATTTCCTACTTGTATATTGATTTTACTTTTTTCTCTTGTAAGTTTATGTTGGAGCCTTTACTTTTCTTATTAGTGGGTGATTTTTTTCTTTTGTGGGAAATTAAAGCACCTTTGATTTTCATTTTTAAAACTGAAAAAATCATCATCTTATAAAGATCTCTAGGTATTTTTATATCCTCATTTTCTGCAAATATTTTTCCTCGTCTCTCATGCTTTTTATTTATTTTCTCCCAAAGCTTTATTTGTTCTTAGATAATACAGCATATTTTGGATTTTACTTTTTTTAAAAAACTGAATGTATTGTGGTGACATTGGTTCCTAAAATTATATAGGTTCAGGTATACAGTTCTATAGTACATCATCTGTGTACCAGAGGCTCAGTGCATGAAATTCTTGCACTTGGGGGGATTGTCCCTCAGCCCAGCCTGCACCCTCTCCAATTTAGGACCCCTCGGGGGATGTCCAGTTCACAATCCGGGACTGCTGGCTCCTAAACACTCGACTGTGTGGCTGCCTGGTTGCCCCTAACCACTCTGCCTGCCAGCTTGATAGCCACCTAACTGCTCCCTGCCTGCATGGTTGACACCTAATTGCTCCCCTGCAAGCCCGGTCACTCCCACCTGCTCTCCCCTGCATGCCTGGTCCCCCCCACCCCCAACTTGCCCTCCCTTGCTGGCCATCTTGTGGTCATCTTGTGACAGTGTGGGGGTGACCATCTTGTGACACGAGGAGATGAGAGTCAATTTGCATATTACCTCTTATATAGGATTATATTGTGTGTTCATTAACCCAAGTCAGTCTCTTTCCATCATCATTTATCTCCCCTATAACCTCTTCTATCCCTCTTCCTTCCCCCACCCCCAACTTCTTTCCCTCTGGTAATCATTATACTACTGTTTGTATCTGTGAACTTCTTTTTATTTTTTTCTCTTTGCTTAATCCCTTCACCTTTTTCACCCAGTCCCCAATCCTCTTCCCTTCTGGCAGCTGTCAATCTGTTCCCTGGAAACATAAGTATCTAGGGTTAGAGGGACCTTAGAATTTATTTATTACTATTATTCTTTTATTAAAAAAAAAAAAGAAAGAAAGAAAGAAAGAAAGAACGAGGGCATTGAAATTTGGGAACAGTCAGCTATCATTTTGGGGACCAGAATGTGGAGTAGTCTGAATACTATACTGAAAATTTATTTTGGCCCTAGCTGGGTTGGCTCAGTGGATAGAGCGTTGGCCTGAAAGGTCCCAGGTTCAATTCTGGTCAAGAGCAAATGCCCAGGTTGTGGGCCTGATCCCCAGCAGGGGGTGTGCAAGAAGCAGCCGATCAATGATTCTCTCTCATCATTGCTATTTCTATCTCTCTCTCCTCCCTTCCTCTCTGAAGTCAATAAATTATATTTTAAAAAGTTTATTCTGTGAACGGTGAGGAGAATAAATATTTTTGAGGCAATAGTGGAGAATATGGTTAGTGAAATGAGTAAGCTTAAATATGTTCCTGTTGCATAAAAAATAAACAGAGCTAGAACCACAAAGCTAGTTTAAAAATTATTTTGACTGTTATCATAGATAAAGAGACCTGGCTATAAGAAAAATGGTAGAAGTGTATTCATGGCTTGAGTGATTCATTGGGCACAAGAGAGTGGGAAAAGGAAGGAACAGGTATAGTTTAAGATGATGCATTGATTGATTGATTTTTTTGGTTTATCTTAGCAAATAATTAAGATTGTATGTAGATGGTGAAAATTTGGGCATAAAAACTTTGGATTAATTTTGTTGTGGTTATTAGCAAGTTTAATTTTACTTTTCTATGAACAAAAATCATTGTTGATTTATTAAAACAGCAGTTACTTTTATTCATGTTGTATATACAAAAACCACATTTATTATTTTTTTTTTTTGCCAAAATGAACTTCTTAAAGTATGATTCTAACATATACACACATGCCTTCCAATTTTAGGAATTCCTTCTTCAGATTCTCGGAATGCAAATCTCTACTTTTTGGATGTTGTGCATCAGGCCAATACTATTTTTCATCTTTTTGACAAGCAGTTTAATGACCACCTTATGCCACTAATAAGGTTAGTCAAATTTTCTTTGGCATTTCAATAAATATAATATAATACAATTTTTTTAAATATTAAAAGTAATACATGTTCATAGTAACAAGAAAGGTGTGAAATTAAAAGTAAAGGTCCTTTGCCATCTTCTTTGCCTCTTATTTTCTCTTCTGTGGTATTCATTTTGCTTTGTTTGAAAGACTAAATCTCATATCATAAACCTATATCTGATGTGAAAGAAGGTCTCTAGCTTGTACCCACTTGTAATATAAAGACATTCAACACAAGAAACCAAGATGGCGGCCTAGGTAAGCACCTAAGCTGCCGCCTCGCACAACAATTTCAAAACAACAACTAAAAGACAGAATGGACATCATTGAAAACCACAGAAAAGCTAGCAGAGTGGGAAATCTACAATAGAAAGGAGAGGCTCACAGATCAGAGGAGCCGCAAAGCGCTGAGGTAGGGAGACACGCGTGCAGAGAGGAAAGGTGGCCGAGTTGCCTGGCTGGTGGGAGGGGAAAGGAAGCCCCTGACTGCACTGAACCCCAATTCAGACTGCACTGAACCCCAACCCCGGCCGAAACCCTGTAGACCCAGGCTCCTACGGGTGGAGTCTAGACTAGAGAAAGGCACCATGAAACTCAGAGAGTGGGAGACTCGGTGGAGACAGGAGCCGCAGTGGGCAGGGTCTAGAGTCGGCGCGAGTGAGTGTGTGCAGAGAGGTCTGACCACAGATTGCCACAGCCGCTCCATAGTGGAAAGAGTCAGAAGCTCCTGACTGCTCTGAACCCCAGTTTCGATTTACTGAACACTGAAACCCAATTCCGGGCGAGCCCCTGGAGCACCCACGCTCTTACATGGGAAATCTGGACTGTCAGGAGGAAACTCAGGGAATCTGTGGAAGGCAGAGGTTTGAGGCACGCGCACAAGGACAGCTCTGATGGGAAGCCAAGACTGTTGACCCAGCCTTGAGACTCTGCCCCATCCGAGCTGAGTGCAGAAGCTTTTGCAGTTTTGCAATTCTGATCCTATAAGACTGTCTCCAATACAGAAGGTATCCCAGAGTATACATAGCTGATACATCCAATTGGCCTGGAGGTCAATTCCACTAGTGATACCAACAACAATCAAGACTTAACTACAACAAGGCTGTACACGCAGTTCACAAAGGGGAGCACCAAGAGTGTCTACCACAGGTAACTTGGATGGCTGACCCACTGGGCCATATAGGACACCAAACATACAAAGCCATCCTATCAACTCAGGGAAGCAGCAAAAATGCCGAGAAAAGGAAATAGATCTCAAACAAGAAATGGAGGAGAACAAAAGACAGGATAAAGAGTTCAAAACCACAGTTATAAGGTTTTTCAAGAGTTTTTTAGAAAAGGCCGATAAATTTAACGAGACCCTCAAGGATATGAAAAAGGACCAGCTAGAAATTAAACATACACTGAAATAAAAAATATTATACATAGACCCAACAGCAGACTAGAGGAACACAAGAATCAAGTCAAAGATTTGGAATCCAAAGAGGCAATGGACACTCTGGAGAAGCAAGAAGAGAAGAGAATCCAGAAAGTTGAAGATAGTGTAAGGAGCCTCTGGGACAACTTTAAGCGTACTAACAGCAGAATTACAGGGGTGCCAGAAGAAGAGAGAGTGCAAGATACTGAAAACCTATTTGAAAAAATGTCAGAAAACTTCCCCAACCTGGTGAAAAAAATAGACTTACAAGTACAGGAAGGGCACAGAACCCCAAACAAAAGGAATTCAAAGAGGACCACACCAAGACACATCATAATTAAAATGCCAAGAGCAAAAGACAAAGAGAGACTATTAAAAGCAGCAAAAGAAAAGCAGGTAGTTACTTATAAAGGAGCACCCATACGATTGTCAGCTGATTTCTCAACAGAAATCATGCAGGCCAGATGGGAATGGCAAGAAATATTCAAAGTGATGAATAGCGAGAACCTACAATCAAGATTACTCTACCCAGCAAAGTTATTCAGAATTAAAGGGCAGATAAAGAGCTTCACAGATAAGAGAAAGCTAAAGGAGTTCATCACAGCCAAACCAGTATTATATGAAATGCTGAAAGGTATTCTTTTAGAAGAGGAAAAAGAAGAAAAAAGATAAAAATTATGATCAACAAAGTTCCAGGCAGCCAGCAGCACTGTCAGGATCGTGCACGTGGCGCTGGTTCATTGGTGCCTGGCCTGTCCTCTGGAGATTGAACCTGCAAGACTACTGAGGGAGCCAGTCCCCAGTTCTGCCCCACCTCCACCACTGATTGATTGAAGTCTGAGGGCCGGGAGGAGGGACCAAGTGGTCTGCCTTCCACCCAAAGCTCACCATTCACTGCTGCCACTGATTCATCAGAGTTACCCTGGTTCCCCTGTTAGCCATCCCCTGATCAATGGAGCCTACTGTTCGATCATCTGTCCAGTCATTTAGGTCGTGATGGCCCCTGGCTTTTTATATATTAGGATACTAAATACAGTTGATCCTTGAACAATGACGGGGTTAGGGATGCCAACCCCCCTTGCTTCTCACAGTAAAAAATATATGTATAACTTTTAACTCCTCAAAAACTTAACTATACTAATAGCCTATGTTGACTGGAAGCCTTGCTGATAAATAATAGATTATCACATATTTTGTACATTATATGTATTATATGCTGTATTATATATTACAGTAAGCTAAAGAAAAGAAAGTGTTATTAAGAAATTATAAAGGCCTGGCTCGGCATGGCTCAGTGGATGAGCATCAAACTATGAACCTAGAGGTCATGGTTTGATTTCCAGTCAGGGCACAAGCCCGGTGTGCGTTTGATCACCAGTGGGGGGCATGCAGGAGGCAGCCGATCAATGATTGATGTTTCTATCTCTCCCTATCCATTCCTCTCTGAAATCAGTAAAATATATTGTTTTTTAAGAGAAAATACATATACAATATTTATTGGGGAAAAAATCCATGTCTTAATGTACCCACACAATTCAAACCCATGTTCAAAATCTACGATAATTACTTTACTACTTATGCAATTTTTGGATTTGAGAGCATATTAAAACATGTATGTGTATAAATATATATAACAATACACATATGAATATGAAAAACTTAGAATTGTAAGGCTACTAATATGATTTTTTTTCTTTAAACATTCAATAGCTCTTCTCCTAAGTTATCTGAATGCCTTCAAAAGAAAAAAGAAATAATTGAACAAATGGAGATGAAATTGGACACTGGCATTGATAGGCAAGTTACTAGTTTTACTTTTTCTCTTTCCTTTCTAAAAATTATAAAAAATACAATTATAGTAGTATAAAAAGTGGTTTTTAGAAAAGAAAAAAGTCTTAATTTTACCATCATGCTATACCATTTGACTTTATTATTTTTGTTAATTCCCTAAGTTTATTATTTCTGGAAGCCAGTATGTTTATCTTTACTTTTAAATCAGATTCAGTTAAAAAAATTTTGTAAACCACCCCCCCACACTCATTCTTTCTCTCCTTCCTTCTTTCTCCAATGGTATGTAATAGAGGATTTTATTTTCATTTAGAATTTTAAGGCTTATATCTAAAATACTTTAAATAAATATACTACTAATTTTCTAAAGGTAATTTCCAGTAAGTGAATTGAATGTTTATTGTAATTAATTACTTATTCATAGTATAGTATAGTGGGTCTTTTTTCTTTTGAGATCATGGTGGTCATATATTTATTGATGATTATAATAGCTGCTATGTATCAAGCATTTGCTATGTGCCAGGCACAGTGAAAAAATCTTTGCTTGTATTATTTCATATATTAGGTTGGAAATTCATTTTACAGATGAGGAAATGAAGGCTTAAATAAATTGAGTAATTTACTCAAGATTACTCAGTTAATGCTGGTAGTGCTGGGACTCAAATTCTTAAGCCCCTTGTACTAAGTCTGGCATATCTTTCTCTTTTATTGTAATTCTACTCCTCTCCTATTCAAGAAAGCATGTTTGAATACAAGTTTAGTTACTGTGCTGTTATAAAGAAAACCTGGAATCCACTTCATTTTATTATAAAGTAAATGATTTTTAATTTATTAGTACTAACAAACTTGCAACTCACTTCCCAGTTTTCTTCTAAGATCAAGAACTACCATAGATTATGTAATAACAAAGGGGTAAAATAAAATTGAAGAATAAGACGAAAAATAGGATGTTACAGAATTAATTACTGAGATCAGTTTACTAAAGAGTTAGAAGAATCCTAGAAACTGGTCTCTCCCTTTGTTTTTAGTCAGGACCATGTGAGATTATACATACATAAAACTTTTTTTTTTTTTTAAATATCTTTTATTGATTTTTAACAGAGAGAAAGGGAGAGAGATAGAAAGCTAGAAATGTCGATGAGAGAGAAACATCAACCAGCTGCCTCTTGCACATCCCCTATCGGGGATGTGCCTGCAACCAAGGTACATGCCCTTGACCGGAATTGAACCTGGGACCTTTCAGTCCGCAGACCGACGCTCTATCTACTGAGCCAAGCTGGCTTCAGCTAAAACTTCTTTTAATAAAATTATAATACATTATGTACATGATAATCAGTACTTAAAGAATGCATGTGTTTTTATAATTTAAATCCCTTATGCTAACTTGTTTCTTCTTGCTTTGCCTTAGACTGCCTGAAAATAATGTTTGAGGAAAGTTGAATGTGTTAAGCCTTCAAAAGTATAGTTGTCTTCTTAATACATATTAGGTCATTTATTTTCATCTTTCCATGTAGGCCTCAGTCTCAGAGTATTTGCATTAGTTGTCTAATTGAAGGCAAAGTGGTCTGTGGTGTTCTTTTGAATGTGACCTTCAGTTCTCCTTTACTCATGTATGGTTAGGCCAAGAGGCGAGCTCAGCATTCACCTGCATCCCTGCTGATATTTTCAGACTAATATCTATCTACTGTTAGGCCCTTTGCCTTTGAAGCTCACATCATCTGCCCCCTCCCTGCCACCTTTTTTGTTAATCCTCACTTGAGGATATTTTTTTCCATTGATTTTTAAAGTGGGTGGGAGGGAGCGGGGGAGAGAAAGAGAAAGAAACATTGATGTGAAGAGACACATCAATTTGTTGCCTCCCCTACCGTGAGCAAACCCGGGGATAGAACCTGCAACCCAGGTATGTGCCCTTGCAATCAAACCTCTTACTCTTTGGCTGACACTCTAACTATTGAGCAACATCAGTCAGGGCTTCCCCCCACACTTTTTTTTTTCTTTTTTCTTTTTCTGTTATCTCTCATATCAGTTTCCTAAATTTATTGAGGCTTTGGGTATCTGATTCACAATTTTATTTCAATATTAAGTCTTAGGTTATTTCCACTTCCATGTGTGTAACACAATCATTTTCTTGATCATCTCCACTTCAGCTACCCATTTTCATATCCTGCTCAACCTTGTTATCACTGGTAACAAAAGCTTTGAAACTGAATAATCCCACAACCTTCTCTGCTTTCTGACCTCAGCAGGAACGCCAGCCCTTAATATTGTCGTCATTTGCTAATCTCTTCTTCTTTTTCTAGCTTTATTTTCTTAATTATTGTGCTTAGATTGCTTGATTTATCCTTGAATTACTCTCATAATTACCCTAAAATTTATTTTATTTAACCATAACTATCTTAAATATTCTAAGCTTTGGATCAGTGTAGTCTTTTTTATTCTCATAACTAGGTGACTGATTTCTATTGGAGAATATCACATAACATTATTGAGGTTCTTATAAACCCATGCTAGGTGTTCAGTATCACTTGTCCCCAGCCTCCTGCTTGTCTTCAGACTATGAAACTCATGTTCTTCTAACCTGTTCTTCAAAATTTAGCCATTCTTCTTACGCTGTCTATCTTTCCCTTTTTCTAAGCATTATTTATATATAGTTGTTGAGGAACTATGTATGTACAGGCTGCTAAGATTTTTAAAGATTTAAATGAAGTATTGGGTGAATGAATCTTTACCCCATTTTTGAGCAGGAAGCTAATAAAACCGAGAGTTTTTTGACATCAAGATTTTTTTTGAAACCCAGAGTCTACCAATAGTAAAATAGTTATTTGTTTCTTAAAATATATTTTTATTGATTTTATAGAGCAAGGGAGAGAGACAGAAACATCAATGATGAGAGAGAATTACTGATAAGCTGCCTCCTACTGGGGACTGAGCCCCCAATCCAGGCATTTGCCCTACCCAGGAATCAAACCATGACCTCCTGGTTCTTAGGTTGATGCTCAACCACTGAGCCATGCTGGCCGAGCAGTAAAATTGTTTTCTGGTGATATTAAATTAAGTAACTTTAATTTAGCCCTGGCCAGGTTTCCTCAGTGGTCAGAGCGTCAACCTGCACACAGAAGAGTATTGGGTTCAATTCCCAGTCAAAGGCTTGTATCTAGGTTGCAGGTTCATCCTAGTCTATGCATAAAAGCCTAAGTGACCAGGGGCCAGGTGTTCAATGCACAGGCATGGAAACATGGAATGGACTGATGAATCTCAGAGGGAAGTGGGGAGGGCGGGAAGAGATTAATCAAAGATCTTATATGCATACTAGAGGCCAAAATCTGCAGGAGGCTTGGGTTTTCCCCAGCGATGGAGGAAGCCAAGCTTCCCGCCCGCCCTGGCCTACCCTGGCCTGACTTAAGGCTACAGAGTTTCAATTATAGAAGATAAATAAATCCCAGTTACCTGCTTCCAGCGGGCCCTGGCCTATGCTTAGGTCGCTGGGGGGCGTGGCCAGTCTGGAAACCACTACAAGCCCCTGCCCCACTCCCCAAGGGAACCCCCACCCTGATCCAAGACACCCTTCAGGGCAAACCAGCTGGCCCCCACCCTGCACCAGGCCTCTGTCCTGTATAATGAAAGAGCAATATGCAAATTGACTGTCACTCCAGCACACAAGATGGCTGCCCCATGTGGACACAAGATGGTTGCCACAAGATGACCAGCAGGGGAGGGCATTTGGGAGGGACCAGGCCTGCAAGGGAGGGCAGTTAGGGGTGACCAGCTGGCAGAGGAGGGAAGTTGGGGACCACCGGGCCTGAAAGAAGGGCAGTTGAGAGGGATCCAGGTCTGCAGGGGAGAACAGTTGGGGGGGGGGGAACCAAGCCTGCAGGGGAGGGCAGTTTGGGGGGACCCAGACTTGCAGGGAAGGTCAGTTTGTTGGGGGACCAGACCAGCAGGGGAGAGCAATTAGAGGTGATGAGGCTGGCAAGGGAGATTAATTAGGGCTGACTGGGTTGGCAGGGGAGGGCAGTTGGGAGGGACCAGATCTGTAAGAGAAGGGCGGGGGGAGATACCAGGCCAGCAGGGGAGGGCAGCTAAGGGTGACCAAGTTGGCAGAGAAGAGCAGTTAGGGACAATTGGTCTTTCAGGAGAGCAGTTAGACATCAATCAGGCTGGAGGGGATTGGTTAGGGGGTGATCAGGCTGGCAGGCAGAAGCAGTTAGGGGCAATCAGGAAGGCAGGCAGGTGAGCAGTTGGGAGCCAGCAGTTCTGGATTGTGAAAGGGATGTCCGACTGCCAGGATCGGGCCTAAATGGGCAGTTGGACATCCCTCAAGGGGTCGCAGATTGAAGAGGGTGCAGGCTGGGCTGAGGGACACTCCTGCCCTCCTGTACCCAAATTTCGTGCACCGGGCCTCTAATAAATAATATAAATAAGTTAAACAGATCAAATACATGCTGTTCTCAATTCTCTAGGACATTAAATTGTATGATTGGACAAATGAAACATATTTTGGCTGCAGAACAAAAGAAAACAGATTTTAAGCCAGAAGATGAAAACAATGTTTTGATTCAGTATACTAATGTGAGTAAAATTATTTGATATGCTAGTAAGAATATCTGCTTTCTTAATACTTGTGTTAACATTTTCATTGGTGTATCTAACTATATTCTATAATCTGTTTCTTTTTATACTTAGAGATTAATAAGAAACTATATGTATTTTCTCCTTATCTAACATGATACACATTTCTATGTAATAACTGTAGAAAAATTTTACAGGCCTGTGTTAAAGTCTGTGCTTATGTAAGAAAACAAGTAGAGAAGATTAAAAATTCCATGGATGGGAAGAATGTGGATACAGTTTTGATGGAATTTGGAGTACGTTTTCATCGACTTATTTATGAGCATCTTCAACAATATTCCTACAGTTGTATGGGTGGCATGTTAGCAATTTGTGATGTAGCTGAATATAGGAAGTGTGCCAAAGACTTTAAGGTATGTATTCATAAATATCAAACTTATAAATTGATTCATGAACATCTATCAAATCATTAAAAATCTGTACTGACTTATCATTTATGTAAAGCTAATAACTTTTGTTGATACTATAATGCCATATAACATTTCCTAACTGAAAAAAGTATTCTAATTATATTTCCAATATTAACACATTTTTGCTTTATGTTTTATTTTAGACAAAGTCGTATTTCTATTCCACAGTCCAAATGACCTTTTTGACTTTCATAACTACTGATGTATATGTCACACATCAGCAAAATGTGTTTCTTCTTCATGTACATCTCTCTGAAGTCACTTTTTCTTAAGGTTTAAATTAAGAAAAGTGCTAAATAATGATAATTAGTTCTAGTCCACAAAAGCTTAAATGATTGTTACTATTGAAGAAAGTTGACAAAATATGTATCTTTTCAAAAAGACTATAGTTAAGTTTATGTAATGACTGAAATATTTGAGTTTTAACACTTCAGGAGCTTTTAAAAATTCTAATATATTAAACTGTCCCACATTAGTAAGTTCTGACTAACAGTTATACGTGAGAAGAATTTACAGAATAATTGTAAAACTAGAAATTATTTTAATGCTTTTTTTTTTCTTATCTCAATTTAGATCCCACTGGTGTTACAGCTTTTTGATACTCTGCATGCACTTTGCAATCTCCTGGTAGTTGCCCCAGATAATTTGAAGCAAGTCTGCTCAGGTGAACAACTTGCAAATCTGGACAAGAACATTCTTCACTCCTTTGTACAACTTCGTGCCGACTATAGATCTGCCCGCCTTGCTCGACATTTCAGCTGAGGTTGAATTTATAAGGGAAATGTGTTGTAATTCAGCAGAACTTGGTTGATAGAAAGAAAGCACAGGAGATTTCTTACGACATAGCCAACACTTTATGGAAAAATAACTGTATGGAAAAACAGCAGCCATACCCTGGAGATTTTTTTTTTTTTTAATTTGGACTACTAGCCATATCTTATTTTTCCCCTGAAGTTGATTTTTAGTACTGTTCTTGAACATAGAAGATTCACATTCTGTGAAACTACATTGTCATGATTTTCATCCTGGAAAATCTTAGTGTCAGTAGGCAAATAAGATGTTACCCAGTGGTCCAGCTCATATTCTGTAACGTATTCCACTGGGAAATTTCACCATATATTTTATCAATTTTAATGACCTTTTCCACACTGGTGGTTATTAATCAAGTTATTTTAGGTATTGCTAGAGAACTTTGTTCCTCAAAAGGTTAGTAATTGATTGATTGGATTTTTCTGAGGTACAACCGTAATACTATTTGAAAGAAAAAGTTTTACATTAAACTAAAACGATGAGATGTTTTATGTAGATATTAGGTATGGATCAGAATTTATCTGCCTCCTGGGTAAAAAACACACACCACAACTTAAAGTTTACTATTTCTTATTTGGTAGACAGATTTTAAGTCATTGCTAGTAAGAAATTAATAAAACTACCTTATTTTATATTCCACTTAAGATAAGGTGAAGGACCTTAACATAAGGACCATATTTATTCATCATTTTAATATTATAAGGGAAGTAAAAAGGTATAATTTAAATGGTGTATATGAGAAATATTGACAATGTTTAGCAACAATGCAATTCTTTAATATTTCGGTGTAAATGCTAAACTGGAATAAGATGGGATGGCTAAATATGCAGATAGTCTTCTATTTTAAGAGGAATTGGGAATTAATAGATAACATATATTCTAAGTCTGGAGATGAGCTTTGCAAAAGCTAGTTGCTTTTCAAATCAATAGCTTCTGTTATCTTTTTCAAGGCATTTCTGAACCAATTCCTAGTGAATGTAGTTAGTTGAATTGGCTTAATAAGGTGACTTAATAAATCACTTATAAAAATTTAAACGTCCAGTGGAAATTTAGGAAGGCCATTACTCTATAAACTTGCTCTCTAAATTCTTAACCTCGTGTAATTTCAGCTTCCATTGTATTCATAGTCTTACAGGAACAGATAAATTAATGTTCAACTCATTCTTGGCATTTTTTCTCTAAGTAGGCTTTTTGGCCTAATTTTGGAAAACTACTTTTCTTATAAGAATGTTTCTGAATGGTCATCCAGTTTACCTAAACTTTCAGGTTTAGAACTAGCTACTGTTTAAGTTACTCTTGTCTGAATTTCCTTCTTTTTCTGTTTAGCCCAGTGTTATCAAAGTAACAAGAGAAATGTTATCAAGGTAAACAAGAGAAATGAAGTATGCTATTTCTTACTAAAGCATTTACAAAGATTGTGGCAGCTTTAGAAGGTTGTCTAGTTTTCTGTTCTTTAGCCAAGGGAGAGCCAGAATAGGTTTTGGATACTAGAGAAAGTTATATGCTTGTACTATTGCCATTTTTAGAAAGCTCTGATGTGAATTCAAATTATACCTCTGTTACTTAAAGCCAACAATTTTAAAGCAGTAGCTTTACTGGCCATTTGAACTCTTTGTATACAGTGTCAATTTGTAAAAAATGGGGAGGAGGGACCTCAAATAAAACATGAGAGAAAATTTTAAGACTTCCAAGTCAGAGAAGTGCTTCAAATTATTTTGTTTGGATTTTTTAAATGTACAGCATATACCTGTTGCATAGGTATTTTGTTTATTATTTCCATGTTTGAGTTCTCTGCAGTATTTCCCTTTATGTTCATTGACAGGGCAGTGACAAAACTCTTAAGTGAATACTTAACTTAGAAGTGTTAACATTAATGCTCAATAAACAAATTCCCTGCAATTGTTTTTTTTTTATTTCACTTCATATTTTACATTTAAGAACTCATACTGAATTTCATAAATTATTTTCATTTAAATTTTTAAGATGTTCCTTAGCATACGTCCTCTCACTTTCTTTTTTAGTAGAGAAATACTTCACTATATAATCAAGATTAAAAATTTCTCCTAAACAGATTATCTAAGAAAAAGAATTTTTTGTTGTATAAAGCAATGTGCAGTTTTTTTAAAAAAAAATTTTTTTTTATTGATTTTTTTACAGAGAGGAAGAGAGAGGGAGTGAGAGTTAGAAACATCGATGAGAGAGATTCATCGATCAGCTGCCTCTTGCACACCCCTACTGGGGATGTGCCCGCAACCAAGGTACATGCCCTTGACCGGAATCGAACCTGGGACCTTTCAGTCCTCAGGCTGACGCTCTAGCCACTGAGCCAAACGAGTTTCGGCACAATGTGCAGTCTTCATATTCCAATTAAAAAAAAATTTTTATATTCACAGCCACTATAAAATTTTGCTCAAAATTTTGCTCAAAAGAGATGAGTAAAATGTACATGGTACATAGCAATAATGGAGTTTTGTATATTAGTAACTTTAACCAACATTTGAATAAGGATAATCTTTGCAATTTTCTGCAGTTTCACATGAGTTAACAGGCAATATTTAGGTAATATTTTGAAGTTGAAAATATACACTAAAACATTGAAAATTAATTAGTTTTCTAAAACTTGAGTATATTATATTTGTAAAAAATGGTACAGAAAGTGAAATACAGAACACAAGTTTTAAGAAAAAAGTCTAGCCTAGTCAGTGTGACTCAGTTGTTTGAGTGCTGTCCCATATATCAAGAGGTCAATGTTCTATTCCCAGTCAGGGCACATGCCCAGATTGCCGGCTTGATCCCCAGTATGTGGTGTGCAGGAGGCAATCAATTGATGTTTTTCTCTCTCCCTTTGCTCTCCTAAATCAATAAAAACAGATATAAACTTTAACTGGTTTGGCTCAGTGGATAGAGCATCAGCCTGTGGACTGAAGGGTCCCAGATTCGATTCCAGTCAAATGAACATGCCCAGGTTGCAGGCTCAGTCCCCAAAAGAGGGTATGCAGGAGGCTGCTGATCAATGATTCTCTCTCACACTGATGTTCCTATCTCATACTGATGTTCCTATCACTCCCTCCTCCCTTCTTCTCTGAAATCAATAAAAATATATTAAAAATATATGTATTAAAAAAAAATAAAAGATCAGACTTTCACCAAAAAGAAAAGCTGCTAAGTATCTTAATTTATGATACATTTTAAGCCATCTTCCTTTCTTTTAAATATTTTAATTTCTGATTCTTAGTGAAATAATTTAATTATCAGCCAGTAGATTGATTCAAAGCGGAGAATGTACTTCTCCTTTATTTTTAATTTTTTATTTTTGTAATATATTTTATTGATTTTTTATAGAGAGGAAGGGAGAAGGATAGAGAATTAGAAAATTCGATAAGAGAGAATCATCGATTAGCTGCCTCCTGTGCACCCCCCACTGGGAATGTGCCCATAATCAAGGTACATGCCCTTGACCGGAATCGAACCTGGGACCCTCAGTCTGCAGGCTGATGCTCTGACCACTGAGCCAAACTAGCTAGGGCTGTACTGCTCCTTTAAAATACCTTTTTCTTATCTGTGACAAATATTTAAATGTATCCAGATAAAAAGATACATTTAATGTATTTTGTTCCTGAAATACCACAAAGCCCTAAAGGTGGTCATGTTTATAAGGCAGTGCCTGAGACATGAACTGTACGTGAGAGTAATTAATTAAGGTTCATTCAGTGCATAATTTGTTAGTGACTTAAAAAAGCTCACATCTGGTAGTTACACTTTTTTAATGCAAAAATATTCTGCATATTTTCCATAATTTGCCCAATTCACTCACAAATTTGAGATGCTTTCTGGTAGCATACTCAATTTGGATTTCTAATGGAGAATTTCATACCAAACATTCTGTGCTTTCATCCACTTATTTTAATTATATTCTGTTCCTGTGTATTTTTTTTTCTGCTTGAAAAAGTCTGTCCTTAGTTTTGAGGAAAAGACCAACCCATATTGTTAGAATAAATAATTCTACATAAAGTAAAAGCAATTTTTAAATTAATAAAGATAACTGCAGCTACATTTATTGATTTATGTCCCATGCACTATACAAAGCTCTTTGCATATAGTATTTGATTCCAAAGCAGCCTTGTGGGTTGGGTACTTCTATATCCATTTGACAGATGAAATACCTAAGGCACAAAAAGGTTAAGTAGAGCTGTTCAACGTGTATATCTAGTAATAGGCTGAGATTGAAACGTCTTTCTTGCTCACTCTACGTTCTATATGCAATTCTCCTAATGTAACATTAAATAGATCCTTTTTTATAGGCTCAATCATTTTGGTTAATCTGATTTTTCTTTCATCAAATGTTTATTTCTCATTGTAATGTTTAGATTATGAAATTGACATACAGTATCCAATTTGGTATTGGGTTTTTTTAATGCTAGGCAGTTAACTGTAGGCTTAACAAAATTGGTCATAGTTTTTAAATTTGTTTTTTAAAGTTTTATAAGTGGTCATGAAATTTTAATTGAATATTAATTTTATACCTAGTAGAAATAGTTCCATAAAAACTCTCTTTAGTGAGTATTTTACATAATCATAATACTGTTTCTGCTTAATCATTTTGTATTGGAAAGAGTCCAGGTATTTTTGTATCATATCTTGTAACATGGGAGTAAATGACGACTCTTCTCTTGGGAAGATATGAAGAAATCAGGACTTATGCCTTCAAAAACAGACTCTTAGTGTCATAAGTTTGCCAGTTCTGTTAGTGCATTGGTGGTTCTTAAGTGGCTAATGTTGGAATGAAAATATAAAGGAAAATGTACTCAGTTTATTAAGAATAGGTAGTCATTTTTATGTATCAAAATAGCATGTTTAATCTTTTTAAAATATGCCTTAACTCTTAACTTTGATTTCTTCCACTGATCAGTTCTTTTTCTTTTCAAATTTAGGGGAGAAATAGCCCCTCACGA